GACCGAGCCATGAAGCGGATGACGCGACAACAGCGTTCCATTGGGCGTACCTTTGTAGCATAGTGCTGCAGCACCCGACCAATCGTCGGCCAGATGAGTTCAGTAACCACACGCAGGGAGCCATCGAGACAGGCCTGGGAGGACTCGGCCAGATTCGCCAACTCCGCTTGGTTTATAGAGATTGGCGAGGCAGAGGCCGCAGCGGCATCTGTGTAGGTGCCACTGCTCAAGTGGGAACGTCGGTAGGTGTCGTCCAACCGAGGCAACAGGTTGGAAAGGGCGCGGAAAATGGTTGCCAAGTAGTCTAGCCAGACGCAGGGGTCAGACATGGTGTCCGCGCCGTCAATCGGCACGTTTTGTTCGACAAGCTGAAAAAAAGTAAATGAGGACCAGATTGTTCATTGTAGTTTGTCTGTCAAATTCTGGGCGAGCAGTCGTCAGCGGTCAGCTGAAGACGTGGCTCAACACTGTCAAGTCGGACGTCGAACGCATGGGCCTCGAAACCGTTTACGATTTGCGACAATGGAACAAGCACTGGGTTGAAATCTGCGAGGAGCTCGCTTCCGATTGCTGCTAATGGGCCGCTGCTATCCGTGGCATCCGTGAAGCTGATTCATTCAACAACAGCAGCTAATCGGGTCAAGTACAAGTACAAGAGCAGTCGTCCTAGTGTGTTAGAATAACGTAGGTGAGACTTTCACATCACCGCCGTCCATCGCGATGACCGGTCTGCTTTGGTATAACACCTTCGCCCTCACAGGCTGCAAACGTTTCAGTCCTTCTAAACAAACGAAACGCATAGTATCCTCTTGAAAGTGATATGAAGGGGGTAAGGGAGCCATTGCAGTTCAGCGGTCAGTTTCGAATTGTGTCGCCAGTCAAAAACATTCCACTCCAGGAACTTTAAGAAGACGGGATAGCACAAAAGTTGGTCAGATTTACTAGCATGCTTGAGTGCCGCAACGGATCATTGTATTCCTCTCCAACTCTCGCATGTTAACTTATTAGGTTTGACACAGCACTACCCGTTTCGGGGACCCAATAAGAGTTAAACTGAAGTAACGGAAAAAGTATTTAAATATATTGTTGCTTTGACATTTGTGGTCCACAGGTAAAACCTTTTCTTTAAATAGGGAATATAAAGGCGTAGGATGCTACCAAACGTGCACAGGAAGGATTTTTTCGTATGTGTTCCATAACCATAATTTGCAATCAAACAAGTACAAAAAATAATTTTCTCGTGCATGTTTTCCATAAAGTATATTTTGAATTTATAAAGGCAGTCAAAATCAATGATAAAAAGGCATACAACTTAAGTAGTCGTGAATTTATAAAGGCAGTCAAAATCAATGATAAAAAGGCATACTACTTAAGTAAAATTTATAAAGGCAGTCAAAATCAATGATAAAAATGCATACTACTTAAGTAGCCACTTTTTACAGTACATACGTTTCGTTAGTGGTCAGAAGGAAGCTCGTTAAAAAGCCGGCATCCTATCGTGACTGAAATTACTTCAGAATAGACTGCATGATAATCAGCATTACAACCTTACTTAATGCCGATTAGCGAAAGAGTATCATTCTTTCGCATATGTTGGCATGTTACATGAATTCTAGGCCGTACTGTTGTACTGTCGCTTGATTAGCGACTCCTTATTCGCCGCCTGCCTATTTCGCAGCAAACTTTGAGTGAATGCCGTCTAACCGTCCTCTATTGCTAATGTGACGATTAACCTGCAATTTGCCTAACTGAAAAGCCTCTTATGCCCAGAGTTCTTGTCGTCTCGGCATTGCGTGGTAACATATAAATCGAAGAAATGGCACTTCTGCACAATAATCAACACGCACTTCATAGGAAATACACAATCGATTCCATCTACCAGTTGCTACCCAGGCAGGGTAATTCAATTAAGAAACAGGTGAAAAAAAATAAGTATACAAAACCAACCTTGGTCAAACACTCCACACTGACAGATGTTAACTGGGCGATACGCTCCGGAAAGGCCTTTCTGGGACCCAGAGGTTCGGGGCTGCCAGGAACGAAGACAATGGAAGCCATTAAACCCCTGACGACGCCCTCAAAGAAGTCGATTGCTTCGTTGACCGGCACCCATCCCAACCGGGGTAATGAATAGACCACACGGAAGATCAGGTCCTTCCAGTGCTCGTCCAGGAGTGAAGCAGCAGAAGAACCAGTTGTGCCATTTATCGGTCTGTCGGCAGAACCGGAGGTCGAGGGATAGACCCGATAAACGGCACAAAGACTGCCCAGGGCGACAAGGGCGGCCCCTACGGCCTGCTTCTGTCCTGGCTATAACGAAAGGAAAAAGGAAAGTGAGCGTATTTTGGTAGGCAATCGACAACACACAACTAGGGAGTTCAAAGGTACACACCTGCATTTCCCCTAAAATAAACTGAACTGATGTTAGAGGGCTGTTGACAGAACAGCGAACATACGCACACCAGAGAGGCTGGTGGGCGGAGGTCACAGAAGTAAGAAATATGCGTAAAGCTGAGAAGGAAACAGGGATAACTCGAATATTTTTTCCAGCAATCAAAGCAGGCGCGGAGCAGTGCTGACTGACCAGTGAAAGACTTCAGACCAGAATAGCTGCAGATCAAAAGCTAGTGATTAGTAAGCGCTAGTTTGCGAATTGACACAAAAACCGGTTTTGGCATTCAACAAAGAATCAGCTCACTCATCGAGGTAATCCTCTACGTTGAGAAGAACGAGACTAAACGGACACCAAAACCGCATTTTTATTTGTTAGTTTTCGAACCTTTGAGGGTTCATCGATAGAGAATAACGCAACAGTATGACAAAAGTTATTTCTCGAGATACCTTTTAATTAGAATAGGCTGTGTATGTAGGAAATTCCGGTAATCAGCCAACCGATGCCCAGGACGGAAGTAAGCCGTCGAACTCTTGACGTCAAGTCGGACGTTTTACCCCCTGGTCGTCAGAGTAACTGAAACTTCTTATGACTAGTGGGACAGGCTCGTCTTAACGAAGACCTCTTATATGGACAAGATACACAACAACGTTCGATAATTTGTTGAGTACTCGTGATATTTAATTGTTGAATGGCTAGAAGCAGAAGAAAAGCAGTCAGCATGAATTTAGTGGGTTAACAGTTCAATCGCATTTTGATTGTTTGTTTGCCAGAGACGGTTATTTTTTCTTAATTTTTAGGGTCTGTTCTAAGAAAAAAATTTTTTCATTATACGATTTTGACTTATCTATTGTGAATACTGGGAAGTGTCACAAAATGCAAAATTTAAGGGTGGCACAGTACCCGGAGCTGCGTAGCAGGGACGTCAACGGCACGTTCGACTATGCGCACCAACTGGTCCACAATCCGTCGACGGAGTTCAGGATGACAGGCGGCCCAGTGGGCTAGCTCGGTGTACAGAAGACAACCCACCTCCTGTAGTGGCGCCGGGGGGTCGGAATCGAGGCCCGGTAGGACAAGGGTGGAGATGAGCGAACCGATCCGACCTTCGGGGTCATGCGGCGAGAGGCGTTTGGCCACTGTGGTAAGCATGAAGAGACAGGCCTCTGACTCCTGTAGCACGCTGGTCATATTCAGTGTCGGATTGGAGGCAGCCAACTCTTGCAACTTTTGGATGTGAGCGTGTAGCTGCGAAAAAAAGAAGTTTGAAAAAGAGATGAAGACATTAGGCTCTCTGAGCAAGGAAATGTACGGAAAGGGTGCAGCGTTTTTTATTGCCCAGATGATTTTAAGCGTCGCAAGAGACACCCTCTCAGGAGTCAATAGGGGGTTGGCGGTGCAAGTAACGAGATGCTACTTTTGACAGTATGGTTGATTGTAATCCTGAGCATAATAATGACTTGAATTACGACTAGCCCAAGCGCAGTTCCCGCTCCTACCTGTCGGCAGTTTTGTTTCTCTTAAAACCGTTAACCCTTTTTTTGCTCTCGAGGGGGAAATACGCGATCGATGGGCACTCTACTGTGTCTTAATA